AACCAGTGGCAGGGGGTTATTCAGCTGTAGCGCATTGTTTCGCCAGCGGCACAACGACTGCCAACTACATCAACTTACTGGTTTTCTGAGTAGACACCTGTAAAGGCAATTATTAAACCATCAAGAGTGTGTGTGTATGTGTGTGTGTGTGTGTGTGTGTGTGTGTGTGTGTGTGTGTGTGAATGCAGGCTGAGGGTTGGGTTGATGTGTGTGTGTGTGTGTGTGTGTGTGTGTATGTGTGTGTGTGTGTGTGTGTGTATGTGTGTAAGCCAATCAACACAATAGGGAGTACTGGCTAAGCACAGTTTGAAAATTTCAACTTGTGTTTTTGGCAATTTGAACCACACTGGAGGAGGAAAAGGTTTCTCAAACCAGTTAAGTGAATTGTGTCAAAACTGAATTGGCTGAAAATGTCAGGTCAGGATTTGTGAGGTTCAATGTGAAGACTTGAGAAGGAAAAGCTTAGTGGCAGATTCTGCAGAAGAAGCAAAGAACACACACACACACACACGGCACAAAAGTAGTCTCGCTGGCAGCCAGATAAGCTAAAGTAATAACAGTGCCATCTCAGCTAATTTTAGCTCTGTATTGAATGTGCTGCCACTGGTATTCATGGCAACATTTCTGGCTGAGCTTAACCATACGTTCGGTCTCTCTGTGTTGCCTGTCTCACTCTTTCTTATTCTCTCAATCTTGTTCTTCCCGTCTCTCCCTTTCCCATGTTGTTCATTCCTCTTCCACCTCCCCCTCGATTCTCCATCCCTCTCTCTCCTTTTCATTCATTCACCCCTCTGTTTGAAAGCCATCTCGTCCCATTTGTTATGTGGGGCCACAACTAATGCATGACATTTCTAATCTCCACATCGCATTTCCGGAAAAAATGTAAAAGCCTCTTTACAAAAGTAAATTTCTCTTTACACTTGCTATGATTGGTGTTTTTCCCCCAGCCTATTTCGTTCTGCAGTTTGTGCAGCACAAAACATAAACTCAGTCTTACATAATAGTCAATAATGACCACTGACAAAAACCTTTACGTGCCAAAAAGTAGCACCTAGGACACTCCTTGTTTTTGAGAAACTTTTATTCAAAGCTAGTTGCATGACTGAGACATTCTAATCGTGAACAGATAGCCATCTCTGAAGTGTCTTAAACAGGTACAACCTCCAGTTTTGAAAAGTGAAACCAATGCAGAAGTGTCTTAAACGTGCATTCTCTTTGCTGGCCATCAGGGGGCGACTCCTCTGGTTGCAAAAATTCTATACAATTCTTGATTGTATAGAAGTCTATGAGAAAATGACTCTACTTCTCACTTGATTATTACCTCAGTTAACACCGTGAACATTCGTTTATGGTGTCAATCACTAGTTTCAAGTCTTCAATACAGCATGATGTTCATTTGGTAAGTTAACCTTACAGCAGGGTATGCTTAAGGGTGTGGCTACCTTGTGATTGACAGGTCGCTACCAGAACCATATACTGCCTCTTGTCCACCAGTCACTCCTCCGCAGTCCAAATATAGTAACTTCTGTTCACTGGCTGCAAAAAAGAAAAGATGGCGGCGACCAAAATCCAAGATGGTGATGGCCTAAGGCCGATCTCGAGACTTGAATAGAACAGTCCACACATCAATGGGTGACATCACAACGACTATGTCTACCTCTTATAAACAGTCTGTGGTTTTTACCTGGACCTTTACCCACAACAGGACTGAATTGAGAAATCCTGCAGCTCTTTCTTATTCGGGATAGCCACAGGGTTCAGGAGATCTGCTAACATGGCTTCCACTTGAAACAATAATGCAGGAAATCCCATTTCCATTGCCAGTCTTGTGGCCTCGCCTGCCATATTGAGATTGACCGCATCAATTTTGAATGGCCTCGGTCCAGCAACAAGGAAGCAGTTGGCGACCCCGTGGTACAAACATCAATGGGTTGGCAGGGGAACAAATGGACAGAAGCTCATTTCCATGAAACATTCCGTATGCAAGTTGACAGCTACTTCAAAGCGGTAGCTGGTACATATTGGTTGCTCACTGCTGCCGTGTTCCCAGTCGACACATCCCCAATGTGTCTGGTTCTGATTTTTCATGGGACGTTGAGCTGATTCTGCAAAGTGTAAGTTAGGCAAGTAGACAAGTGAAATTGTCCTCGTGGAAACTGGAGAAATGCACTTTTATAGAGCCTTCAAATGCATTAGGATCAAGTGAAGTGGGTCTCATACACATAACGTAATGTCACAGAGGCATAGAACCAAAAACTGTGGTAAAGAAGAGTCTTTCTTACCCTACAGGGATACCTCTAAGGCTGGGTAACCTTTGCAATACCAAAACGATTTTTTCCCCCCTGTTACTTTGAAGAACACAAACCCATTTCTTGATTCTACCAAAATTTCAGGATTCTTAAATGTTATTTAAACACAAACACAAACACAAATAATAGAAATGTGTCTTAATTACAAATACAGCTTTTAATTGGCAAAACAACCTGTCAAAGAACAAATCAAAAAAAAGAGAGCATGAATCTGAGCATTGGGGCTCGATACTGAGCCGTGGGGATTCCTCACCGTAAATGTGTTTTTGGATATGCATGCGTGTGTGAGCAAGTGTTTGCGTTCAACCCAAACTGTCTTTGTGTGTGTGTCGTAAATGTTTGTCTCAGGAAACCATCTTGGTAGACCAGAGAGTGTGAGTGAGAAAAGAGAGACAGGAAGAGACGAGGGGAGGCTTTTTCAGTGGTCTTAATCCAAAGTGGGGAAAAAAATCCTTCTTCTGCATGATTCTTTATAGATTTGAGAGAAAAAACTTTAACGGCGAGAGATTGTTATCTTACAGATATGGAAACAATCCCCAAACCAAACTGAAAATGGAACCGACCTCATCTCTGAAGAGAGGGAAAGATTAGGGACACATTAGAGATCCAGGACAATATAATAGAGAACGGATAGTTTTCAAAGAAGAAGAGACAGGAAGACAACATTCTGTTGACTCAGAGGAGCTACAGTATGTTTATTGTTTTCAAAATGTAGGTCATTCTCTTTTCTGAACCAGAAGTTCAAGTTCAGTCCCCTTCAGACATAAATTCAAATGTTGGCATCAGGTTTGAAATGTTTTTTCTTCTTTTCATGGATGCTGTTTTGGCAGTTTTCCTACTCAGGACCACGTAACATTTCTGCTCACATGTGAGTACATGCAGTTACCTCAAAAGCACAAAAAGTAACTTTTGACCCTCTCTTTGATCAGCGAGTTACTCTGCCACCTCCTGAAAATCTTGAGCGCAATGTTTGTAGTGAAATAAAACCACAAAAGAGAAGGAGCCACTACACACAGTCCTAGATATGATGTAAGGCTTGATGTTTCAGCAAAATCATTGTATGGCCGCCTGCCCGACTGACTGGCGGGCTCTTATTCTGGGAGCGGTGGAAGCCCCTTCTCTCATGATACCGTTGTCCTGTGCTGCGACTCTTCTGCTTGCCCTCTGGCTACATGCCTCTTCTACTGTGCGAGAAGAGCACTTCACACCTCCCCAGTGAAACCAGAGCTCTGCCTGCAGCCGTCAGCCTCATGCCATGTCCTCTGGGCTATTTTTACTCCAGCAGTGGCTACTTCTGCCAAACCCATACCACAGCGTACTGGACTGGAGCTGAGGCCATGTGTGTTTCTCTGTGTGTGTGTGTGTGTGTGTGTGTGTGTGTGTGTGTGTGTGTGTGTAGGTGTATGTAGGTGTGCGAGTGGTAAAACTGAATATAAAAACAGATGTGAGCAGAAAAGAGCTGGGCAATGTTCCAAAAACAAAAGGCAATGTTATTCTAATGATTATGGGTCTCAATATTACAGTTATTGGATAACGACACAAAAGGCTGTACTTTGAATAACCCGCAAAGTAATTATGGGCTTAGATATTGAATATGGTCATTTAAGGTGGAACAAGTATAATATGAAGATCTTGTAAATACTTTGGTAACAATTGGTCAAATTGCGCACTACTTATGAAGTAATATAGGACCAATTATGTGGAAACAAACTAAGAAGAGCAGACATATTCTGTTTACACTTTTTATACAATGAAAATGTAATATCCGAAAAAATATATATATTTTACTTTGGAAAAATGGTGTGACCTCTGATTTCTATCCCACAGCGTGGTCATGTGCTCTTAAAGCTCCCGTTCCCTGTAGTACAGGAGTACAGAACAGTCAATAGTTGCATTGACCGTATTGACAAGTACCACTGCTGACCCTTGGTCATTATTGCCGATCATTTCAATGAATCACTTTATTTGTCCCCAAAGGGCAATTGGTTTGCATGAAACACAAGATTTTAAAAAAACAACAACCTCAAAAAACCAAGTAAAAAATGTTTGCGTTAGATTATACATGTCATAGCACACAGTGTGAGTACAAAGCCGGAGGAGACCACACCCTCTCTGCCAACAGCTGGTGCTCAAGACAGGCCCACCCAATGCCAGAATGCCCCCAAACAAGAATACATTCAAGAAAATGTATGTTTACTAAATCACAAAAATCAACTACAGTTAATGAGATTTTTTTAAAGCAAATCCTACTCTTTAGGTGTTTCCGTTTTATGCCTCCACGCCGACGATAGCCGTGTCTTGGGGCATTATATTTTTCACACATATGTTTAATAGGATGAAATGATGCAGTGATGTTTCGGACAGACGTGGATGTAAAGTGCAACAGAGAGGTAATTCCAGTTTTAGGACAGAAGCATAGATTTGCCATGTTAGGAGTGTTTTTTTTCTTCTTCATGAAAAACCATGATAAGCACTAAAAAGCTGAGAAATCTGAAGTGGCAGAGAATTTTCTCCGGTTGAATTTTCTTTTTAAGGCCGTAAAGTGCTGTTGCAGCTCTCAACTCATCTCCCAACCTGGAGGCTCTATCTTCACATCCCAAATTCTCTCCCTTCTCTGTCCTCATGTACTTCTTCTGCCTGTCCGCTTAATCTAATTCTCTCTCTCTCTCTCGTACTCTCACTCTGTTTCAGTGAAGTACATCAAGGAGATGTCGGCTTTCTTTAAGAACTCGGGGTCCCCCGGGGCCGGCCTCCCCTGGGACTCTCCCCCCTCCACACCTCAGAGGGGCACTGATCTCTCCCCTGCTGAGGTGAAGGAGCCCTGCAGCATCCCGCTGAAGATGTGCCAGGTGTCACGAAAACAGTGCCCCCCGGACACAGAGAACAGGTACAGCATGCTGGAAGTCTGACACAATATTTGATCCATACATACATTCTGTCAGAAAAAAAAAAAATTTGGACAGATCACAACCAGAAAATAACAAATTGGTTTAGAGAGAATAATGTAAAAGGGACTTCTTACCCCATCTTCTTCACACATTCTCTTTGTTAATATCTAAAACCTCCTCTTCACCCTGAAGCTTTTCTCTTTGCCTTTTGTCTTCTATTTCTCTAACTGCTCCTTCTCTCCATTTTCTCTGCCTCCCTCCTTGTGTCCCTCTCTCTCTCCCTCACATCTCGTCTGCCAGGTATTTCGAGGTGATTTCGTCCAGCAGAAGGAACTCTGTGTTCCTGCGGGCTAAAGACCCAGCCATGGCTCAGTCCTGGTACAATGCCATCCAGGCCGGCGCTGCCAGCCTTTTACCACGAGTGAAGGAGGACATGAAGAGCATGCAATCTGGCATGGAGGTCAAACATCTGGGCTGGATTACAGAGCAGGTATGCAAGAATGCAGATGTACAAACTGCAAGACCTGCCCTGTTTGTTCTATGTGTTTTATGCTTTTCTTATGCTTTTCTGCCTTCTTCATATCGTTCTGGGTTAAAGACGCTTTCTAGCGCAATAAGGTTCAATCCTATGTTAAAGCGCATACAGCAACACTCAGATCCTTCATTCATATCAGCAGCCTACTGACGTCCCTGGGCGTTACTGTCAGAAATGTGCCATGTATGATAATTGTAATGCACCATACGAGTGAGTTTAAATGCTTTCTTCAACTCTGCTGCAAATGTGCAGGTGACCCAGGGTCCAGAGAAACCCGTACTGGCCATGCTGACCGACAGAGACCTGCTCCTGTATCCCTCCTTGCCTGAGAGCAAAGAGAGCCTCCGCAGCCCCACAAAGAGTCACCCGCTCATTGCTACCAGGTTCAAACACACAAATGCCTGCATCCACATACAGTACTCGATATTCACTATCACACTTCGCACACGTGACATGTTTGGCATTTAATAAACGTCTGTCCTCCACCCTCAGCAGCCCACAAATGACTGAAGAGGCCTTTTTGGGCTTGTTTTGGCCCAGTCAGGAGAGCACGAGCTCACTCTTTCCATAACTGGACTATTGGACATTTTGCATCACATTCATTTGGAAAACATGAGTGGAACCAGAGCCTATGACTCATGTGTTTTTCCTTCCCTTCCTTCTCTCCTGTGCACTCCACATCCCACAATTTGACATGCATACCCCTTAATTTGCCCTTTACGATTCATCCTTTTCTATGAATCTTAATTTCCCTTCTTTCCCGCCCACGTTCCGCTCATGCTTTCTCCTCCCCCCTTCAGACTGGTCCACTCCGGCCCAGGGAAAAGCTCTCCTCTCCTGGACTCTGACCTCTCATTTGGCCTGCGTTCGGGCACTAAGCAAGGCGTGGAGACCCATGTGTTCAGGGTGGACTCTGCCAAGGAGCTGTCCACCTGGACTCATCTGCTGGTGGAGGGTTGCCATAATGCTGCCGAGCTCATCAAGGAGGTCACCGCGGGTACGGATGCAGAGATTTGTTTGACTCCCAGTTCTGGCTTCATTCTCGCTGTACATTTCCTCAGCCTACGAGTCTGAAAAATTTCAAATTTTGTCCTGAATGACGCAACCGAGGTTCAAGGTTTGACTCCCACTTGGGTCACCCTCTTGTCATGGCACTGAGCACAAGTTTCTTTTGATAACTTCACTGTTATGTGACACATCTTGAGAGGCATATCAGGTCTATAATATAGTGCATAAGAAAGACTTGTTGAGGTGTCAGCTATTCTAATTCAGGTTGCAGTTGCTGCCTCTATTAATAGTTCAAAGTACGGGCCGGATAGTTTACGATGAATATCAGAAACAAAAGTAAATAATTGAGTCAGCATTAAATGTGTTTAAATAACACTTGTACCAACAGTACAAGTGGGATTTCCCTATGAAATCCCCCCCAAAGAGACTGTTTAGCATGCATCAAAACGTTCTCTCCTTTAAGGCACAATCGCTCTAACTATGAATACAGTGGGAGTCCCTCTACCACAACACAACACTGCTGTCACTCTAAAAGTGATTGACAAGTCTTTCACACTGGCGAATGCAGCAAGGCAAGTGGTTTAAGATGCGTTTGTCATGCAGTAAAACATGCCGATATTTTCCAATTCTGATCTGCCGGCAATCAAAAAAATGCTCAAAAAGCTGAAATCTATATAATCCTTACAATTACTGCTCGGGCACAAGACGTGGTTTCTATTCAACAGACACACAACCATCTCACCACGTAAAAGAGGCCGTTCTCACAAAGCAGGATTAGGAGTTACGATTAATTGTTTGTTGCACAATGATTTAGGGACTGTAGACTTTAGGCAAACATGTCCACAATCTCTGGGGATTTCTTCTGGCTGCGTGTTTGTAAAAGACTTGAACTGGCTTCTTAGAAAGGGAAGCTTTTGGTCATCAGATTTATGAAGAGCAAGTGGAGCATGTGTATATACATGGTGTCTTATAAGCCACGTCTGCACTGACTGCAGCTCTTTTCACTTCCATGATTCAGATTCTGCATTTTAGTGTCAAAGTTCCTTCTGGAAACTTAAGTGAGTCCAACACCAGGTTGGTGCAGTAATGCTGTTACATCGCCCTCTGCTGGTAGCATGAGGTGGTGCAAAAACCTTCAGCCTAAAACCTCAAATGATCTAATTTTAGAATCAGAATTAGGAGGAGTGTTCCATTTAACTGAGGCCTATTATGTTTTTCTTCACAAAAACCATTATTTGGATCATACTGTTCATTCGTAGGATACAGCCAAGAATTCTGGGCTCTGTATCAACACTGTTCCACTGAGCTCACAACAAAAATGAGAAAGCAAGAAATATGCAATATAAATCCAGATTTATTTGACAAGAGCTACAGCTGCGTGCTGTAAAATCATGACATTGCCTTTTGTCCGCTCCTGTGTAAAGCCATGTTTTTCTTTTCTACCCTGGCAGCCTGTAGTTGGAATGGGAAGGAGTGCACCCTGGGAGTCCACATTGATGAGGGATTCACACTATTCACAGACGAGATGGGTGTCAGGAAAAGTATTCTGCTTCAGCAGCCCTTCGAGCGCCTAAGAATGTCCTCAGACGACGGGGTTCGCATGATGTTCCTCGACTTTGGAGGCCCAGAGGCCGAGATTGTAAGTTGCTATTTTCCATTGAACTCGCTCAGTATGGGGCACTTTAAATATAGAAAAATGTCTTAACTTTAGAGTGCTGTCACAATGCCGCTGGATTGTTTAAATGATTATACAAACAAAGTGGTTTTAACAAAATAATCTTAACACACTATCCACTCAGTCGCCTTTTGCAGAGCTTTCAGTCGCATTTCATGGTCCTCATTGGTGGATGGAGATTGCTCAGGTGTCATGGAGATGGCCAACTCTGAGACCATGACATGTGGTTGAAAGCTCCAGGAAGGTCAAGTTGCTTAAATCACAATTACTGACAATTTACTGATGTTGGAAATATTTTTTAACAGTATTTAAAAACTGAAGATTAAATTTAAGCTAACCATATTTTCACATTTGCACTTTTGTTGTCATTTCTTTCTAAATTCTCACTTCATTAAGGGATATCTTTTATTCTCTTTCATATTTCCTGCACTCCAAACTCTCTTTTTTTCTTCAGCAACTGGACCTCCATTCTTGCCCCAAGACCATGGTTTTCATCATCCACTCTTTCCTGTCTGCCAAGGTCAAGCGACTGGGCCTCCTGGCATGATAATGGTCAACCATCCGGAACATCAACAATAGGATTATTCAATAAAACACACAGCCAGAAGACTCTGAAACACCAGAGGATGCAGCCCAGTGAAAGGTGCTGACTTGCCACTTTCTTTCAGCCCTCCTAGGCCTCTAAACGGCTCATCTCTGGTCAGACACCCGTTGGTCTTTCTAAGGGAATGAATAGAAGACTGCAACTGTTGATGGACCTTTGTTGAACTTGTAGTTGTAAGGTAAAGAGAGTTTTCACATTATGGCGCACGTCGGCAGCCACTTAGGGGATCTGACATCTGTCAAATCCTTTTTACGGTGGGCCATCAACACTTTATGATGGCAAACTGTGTGAAATGACAGCTTGCATCTTAACATTTCTAAGCTTGATGTCCCAACCATTTCATGTTTTTTGTGGCATTGTTGAGTTTTGTTTTGTTTCATTAGTCACGGCAGGCCTTTGTGCCGAGCGTCCTTTCATCTTTCAATCGTTGCTTTATGCGCTGTGAGCAGTCATAACAATACGGTATTTCACAAATGTCCTGATTGATGTTGGACAAACTTTTTTTTTCTTCTTTTTTTTTTTTTTTTTTTTTTTACAAAGGCCGCTTCAGTGGAGTGACAGAATGACGTGACTGATCACCACACGATCGATAATCTGAACTGAACAATGTGCACAATGCGATAATAACTATAACCATGTGCTTTTTATGTGAATGCTTAAGTTGCCTTTACCCTGAATTTTCATGAAAAAAAGACACATACTTTTTATTGAGGACAACTTCCAAATGTCAAATAAAATATCATTTTCATTGCAGCTCAACAACTTCTTATTTTATTCTCCTCTCTGTCTCTCTTCTTCCCCGTTTTAAGTGCTCATCCATGGCCTCACAAACAGAAATGACTAACAGAGTATCTTATAAAAAGGCTTTTTTTTAAATAGTGTTTTAGCCTAACCAATAAATTAAATAAAAGCGTGTAATTATCCTAACAAGAATCTGGATGGCCTTTCCTTTCACATCAGCCCGTGTGAAGTACAAAATAAGAGTTTAGAGTTCAACCGACGAAGGTTGTTTCATAATCATGTATTGAAAGAGTGCCGGTTTAGCCAAACCTCTCATCCTGTATGGTTCAACTTTCAAGTACAATACAAAGTACAGAGTTTTATAGGACAGGGTTTTCTTTCATTTTTGATTTAATCATAAGAGAGGACAAACAGTCTTCATCGGAAAGCACTGATGGTCTGTTTTCTACACAAATTGTCCACATTTAAAAATGTTCTTTTACCATATAGAGTATGTTGAGTTGTTTACATCATGGAGTGTTTTTTGTATTTCTTATTTGTGTCGACTGAACATCCACAACTCGGGGCCTTCTCTCTGTGTCCAACACTAAACAGACTTGTATTAATATATATTTCAAAACTAAAACCTGTTTGCTTTCAAGAATAAAATGTATTGTATATTCTTATTTAAACAAAGGTGTGCCTTGCAGGGTTGTTTGTATATAAACATGTAATAAACTTTGTTAACTTTTATTCTTTACTTTGCTTTTTTGATTACGTATTAATGTCACTCTTGATTATTTTATTCCTTTCATTTGCTTCTCTAAAGACTAAGGCTCTTTTCCATCTGTTTTAGCACACAAACACTACCTGTCCGCCGGAAAACAGACAAAGTAAGCGACTAGCTGGTGAAGTTAGTGCAGCATTTTGGCATGTTTCCTCAAGAGCCGGTGGTGACCAAAAACGGAGCCAAAAGTGCCAAAAGCACAGTGAATAAAATTCATCAGGTGGCCAGAAACGCGACTCCAATTGAATGCTAACTTTCTGTGTCTGCTGTATGTGTAAATATGTATCTGGTTACTAGCATATTAGCCACAACAACCGTATACGGTCAATGTTGAGTTTTCAGTTTATTCTGCACCGCCACTTTGTTGTTATTGTGTTGGTTGCCTATGTCACTATTCGGAAAGGATTTGTTTGGGGATTAATTTGGATTTACTGCCCGCCATCATCAAAGAAAATCCAAATTCGGTCAAAGAGGTGGAAGTCATGGTGGAGGTGACACCTGTCTCCCAAGCACACACTCGCACATCATATTCCTAATTGTTTGTTAGCGCTTTAATCGCCTGATGATTCTCAAAAATGAAAAGAAGAAATGCCTTGCAAGGAGTGAAATCAACTATTGGGACCCTGACCCTCCTTGTGAAAAAAGGATTGAATAAAAGTGTCCATCTATCCCCCTATCTATCCATCTATCTGCTGCAACAGCACTCTCAAACAGCCTTGTAGAGTCCTTTTTTAAATCGGTCCTAATCCACTTTTCATATCCAGCTGCACGTTTTGATGTCATATCTCATGGTCTTTAACGATCTGTTCCACTGCTCATGCTTTCAGACAGCAGATCTAGTCTTCGGCGAGGTTTTCATTTAACAGTCCCAGTTGGTGGTCTGACAGTTTTATTAAGTCCAGACAGATCTGTAGAATGGGAAGAGCAGAGATGATGATGATGATGATGATGATGAGATGCTTAAGTCAGCGGGGTGTGTGATGGAGACAGTTAGGCCTGCTGCTAGCCATTGTAAAAGGAGCAAGCAAACAGTTCCCCTCTTATATGCTTTTACTTCCACGAGGCAGCGTTATCAGCGAGGTGCAGACGCTGTTTGTTGCCGTGTAAAGTGCGAGTCCGTGTGCGTGCATATATATGCTGTTCAAACACACGTGAGCATTTGCATGTGTGTGTGTGATCAACAAATGGAAGTGGGAGAGAGTCGAGTAATAACAAACTGTGACTTGTACATCAGCCCGTCAAATCAGAATAGAGTGTTCACATTCGATCATATCTTCTCTCTCCTCTCTCCCCTTTGTGCCCCCCGCTCCTCTTGTTGAGGTGTTACCATGGTAACGGCAGGGAGCTCTCAGATTGGCCGCGTCCATCTCTTCCCGTGGACCACGGGTTTCGCTGCTGAAATTGCCAATCAGCCTCTCAGATCCGCTGGAGAGGAGGAGGAGATTGCGTGAATATATTTTGATTAACAAAAAATGGAAGGGCACTTAGGACGGAGAGGAAGGGGGAGAACATTGTGGGGAAAATATGATGTTTGTGAGGAAAGGGGTTGAGGAGAAAATGTATGCACTCTGCAATCCCTTCTGTTGTGTTGAAGCAGAGCAAACACTATCACACACAAAGAGAGGGAATATTGACTCTGAATAAGATTGAATAGGCAATGTTTTTTGCCAATCAGGCATTATCGTCTGTTCAAATCCCAACAATAACCATTGTGTGAATGCAGACAAGAATGAACTGGAATGGACTGATCAAGGTTATGCACACTCCTTTTTAAAGGACTGTACTGGTGATGTTTTAGCCCAGATTGTATATTATTTGGTCAAATCAATTCTGTAGCATGATAATGCAAAACAGACATTTCAGATGAGCCAATACCTGATGACATTACCTGTTGTTCAGATTAATGGAAGTATTTAACAAATGTAGAAAACATACTTTGGCAAGTTGGCAAAAAGGGGTTGTGAATATAAATGGGCTAAAATGCAACAATACACTGATATGATCTAACTGTAATATCAGGAGTAAATGAACAAAACACCATTGAAAAGTGGTACAGTCTTCTTATTTGCTGCACTACAACCAAATAAACCTGGTTATTATTGCACTCTGTTGCTGCATGTAGTCAATAAAATGTTTTCATAACTGTCTCTCTCTCTCTCTCTCTCTCTCTCTCTCTCTCTCGCTCTCGCTCTCTCTTCCCCCCCTTTTAAAACACGTTCAGTGTTTTAAAAGTTAAACCAATTACAGTCTGTCATTTTTACAAATTCTCTTCTCATTTTTAATCATTTGTACTGTGTCAAATTATTTGTTAAACTATTAAATTAAACAAAGATGAACAGTTATTTTTATTGTAATAACAATCAATGAAAGCTGATATGTGTTTTTTAAATGACAACATTAAAATGTCCTCTTAAATAATTGTGCAGGAAGCATCCTGAGATGGCACAGGATACCAACTTTTTCAATATTGTTTGACACAGCACAAGCAGGATTTAAACTTGACAGTCACTGTCTGTCTTCCATCATTCTGTGAGAGCATTTATAAAAGCAATCAATATTTCTAAAACTAAAAGAGTGTATACAAAAATAAATCAAAAGGAAGCACACCGTCAATATATAAACTAACTCAACAGCTATCTTAGCTGCTGTCTTGGCAAATTGCCAAACAACTAAGGGTCGAAATACTTCTTCCACTACTGCCCAAGAGTAAGAGAAATGCCGCGGTGTCATTGTCCCACACAGGGTGTCTGTGACATGGCTGTGTATTACATGTAGCAGCACGCTGTGGACCCTGGTTACAGCATACACTGCAGTGTGTATCATCGCAGACAGATGGCAGTAGATTATTGAAGGAGGAGAGGTCTGACTGGTTTTAATGTATGTTCAGAAACAGTAGGGGTCTCTGTCCCTCCATACAGAGGAATCACAAAGAGAGTGTTCAGTGAGGGGGAGAGAGAGAGAGAGAGAGAGAGAGAGAGAGAGAGAGAGAGAGAGAGAATTTAAGCTTTGATTGGTCCTGACCTAATTCAGAACAGGACATCCCACAATATTCAATACTCTATTTCTAGTTTTTTTTTCCTCTGTCTCTCTCTCTCGGTCTTTTTCTTCTTCTCCCACTTAACACAAAAGGACTAGAGAGAGGAAAGAGGGCAAGAGATTAATACTAAAGCTCGAGCTGAGCAATTCATATTCCAATTGGAGGAGCATGTTATCTATTTTCTCACACTTATTCATTGTGCTTCTCTTCCCAGAGAGGCATTGGAATCAAAGCAGGATTCAACAGGAATCAAACGGGGACTTTCAAGGAAACGAACAATGGCGACAAGAGCCGGTCGAGGTAGAACGTTTCAACCTTGCGCAGAATCCAAAAAGAATCAACTGCGCAATCACTTTCACATCAACTCCTCAATAACCATGTCAAATATGTACAGAGGGATGAGGCGAGGGCGAAAGCTGAGTCCTGTGTCATTGGAAAGTCATTCATCCAAGCTTAATCAATCTTGGTTGTTTGATTCAATTCAAACTGCCTCCCAGGCAGAAGAAGAGAGGAAGAAAAAGGCAGAAAATGAGAGTTGAGCTGAGCTGACTCTTTCTAACTCTGACGAGGCTTCTCTCCATCTCTCGTCTCATTCATTTCCCCCCTTTTTCTTTCATTCTCTCTATCGTTCTCTCATCCTCTTCCTAGAGGCAGGAATTATTGCTACTCATTTCATGCTAAGGCATATAGCTTGGATTTCTTTTTTTTTCCAGTCACCAGTATTTTTGTAATATTGTTATTACTACTGTATGTCTTAAAGACCAGGTTAGGGTTATTAAATATGCCAAAGCGAATTGTATTTTCGCTCAAGTAAGCTCCTTGGAAATATTCCATCAGGGTACCCTTTTATTCTTTCCAAATGTAGTTATGAATTTTAAAGTAGACTTGTATTACTGGAGGAGAGAGGCGTGTGATCAGAATACTGAGCAAAGCCCAGATTGGAATTCCTTGTTCTAGAAACATTGAAAGGAGACCGTAGCTGTCAACAGAAGGGGTTAAAAATGGTGGGGGGGAGACAATGGGGGTTAATATTGGCAGCTGGTGATGATGAGCACACTTAAGTTTTTTATCTTCGTTTGTTTGAGGCAGTGGAAATCGGCCAGATTGCTTTCAGAAAGGTGTTACATCAAAACATTGCACAAACTGAGTCCATGATAAAATAGTACATTTGCATTGCCGACCAGCCTTCTAGGGTTGAAATGTTTTTTTTTTCATAGCAACACCATCATATAGACATTCAGATCCACCACCACCACCCCCACCCCATCCTGTCTTCATTTTTGGGTATTCATGAGCATATGCTCCTGTGTGAAGTCCCCTGTCAATAAATATGCACAGTCTTAATTGTTCCCATCATAATTAGACTGCAGTTCTGTTCTTTTTGGCTCAGGTATGTTGAAGCTCTTTCTTTTGTTTGTGGTTTGGCACCTCTGATGATTTCCATGACAATCATTTGAGTGAGCGAGGAAGCGAGAAAAGGAGAGAGAGAGAGAGAGAGGGAGAGGGAGAGGGAGGGAGGGAGAGGGGGAGAGAGAGGGAGGGAGAGGGAGGGAGAGGGGGAGAGGGCGAGAGAGAAGGTGAGAAACAGTTGCTGGAATAAAGCCCCATCTCAATCTGAATAGCTTATTAATAGAGCTGGTCCCAGGCAAACAGATGGCAGCTGCCAAAAACAAACACAGAAATCACAGAAATGAAAACCCTAATTCAATTAGGTGGGAAGCGTTCCTCGCCGAAGCAGTTATTGAGCAGTTTCCATTAATTTGATGATCCATTTAAAAAAAAAAAAGGAAACATATTAAAGTGTTTTTTTCCAGAATGTTCTCTCGTGTTTATTATCTGTGGTTGACAAGCGGAGAAAGAAGAGGCCGCGAGCTGTATGTATGTGGGTGTGAGAAGAAAACAGGATTTCAGTCATTACTGGCTCACGGTTAACAAATGCAATTAAAGTTACTAATGAATGATACAATTGCAGTGTGTATAATATGAATTTATGGTTCACAGTAAAGGAGTATTGGTCTGTTCATATGTTAGCATTTTACCGTTTATATGACAGAGAGAAGAGAACAATCAATAGGTTTTTGGAGGCTGTGAGTGAAGCTGAGGTTTA